TAACCACCACAAGGATATGTCAAGTATGTCTGCCCAAACAAGATTAGACGGAGACACCTTGAACCAATATCCACAAAATAATACCTACATAGACTACTCATAACCAAAAATTCAAGTTTGTTTGCCCATTTTGGGGTCAAGAGTGCTCCCAAGGGGACGTTTGCCACTTGGTTAATTACATCTTGGGGATTGATCAATAATACTCGTGATTCAAAGGAGATTTGTTTATATTAATAGTGACGACTAGCACATGACTAACAAAGGATGATTATTTCACATAAGAATACTCCGTTGCTTTCAAAGCTCACGCTAAGCCACGGGGTAAAGAGTGAGTCTCTTACGATCCCCACATGTGTAACATACTCATCTGCATACAGAGACTGCAAGATAACCAAATTATCACGTCAGAGAATCCCAATACGTCAAAACACATTCAAGTCATAAGGGTAGATGACAAATTGTCATATCTCAAATGGGCAACAACTCATCAGTAATCAGTCGAGATGATACCAAAGATGGTAAGAGAAGAGACATGGCTTAACATGGGTAGTTAAGGATGAGAGGAGTAATCTCTTGAAGGTAGAGATAATTGGGTTGGGATATCACTGATCTGTCATCTCAAGCCACAAGAGAAAGAGAAAGAGAAAGAGAGAAAGAGAGAAAGAGATATGTAGTGCACACAGTAATTTTCTCAAGAGGAAGTCAGAGAGGGCCCCTTTATTCCTCTTGAGACTGCCTATTTAAAGGGGTCTAATCAGTACAACTAATGAAGGTGGGACCATTATGGTAACTGTCCTTAAAAAATTTAATGCTTATAATTTGAATTAATGACTGTCATTGACGAAGAATAATGATTTACAATGACTTATGAGTTTAAATGAGTGTTGTTGGCCGACGAATGATCATATCAGTTGGTTATCTAAATTCTGCCTATGCCGAGAGGGTGTAATCAGTTGTTTTGAATACGGTCGTCCGTTTTGTCGAGAAGTTTGGTCGATAGGCTCTACCAGACCTGTTGCCTCGGTCGGTTGGTCGACCGATGGGTCGATTTATTTCGTCGGGTGAGCCATGACCCACTTACTATTTAACACAAATCTCACAAGACCTGTGTCTCGTCAGTCAGGTTAGTTCGTCGCTTTGGATGAATCTCCTCACTCACAAGGTTTAAGGCAGAACTTGTTACAAATGCGAGGTATCTGACGAGACTCGCTGTCAGGATGATTTGTGACACACCTTTGGTGAATCTTGTCGTCATCGAGTGTGAAACTATCTTCTATGCTTTGATCTATCCCGAGTTTAGAGACAACTTCTCATGCTTGAAGCTGAATTGTTGGTCGATCGGTTACCTCGTAGGGAAGCTTTGTATTCTCGACTATTCGTTCTCTTTGAGGTTTGTGCGGGTAGTTGACCAAATGAAAATATGTTGAGATTTTCATATCTATTTTATATTATTTTTGATGTTATTGCACTATAAAGAATTGTATTTTTGATGTTTTGTTGCATGAATGATGAATTAGGGTCATTAGAGCAAAAAGATGCAAAAAAGAGCGAATTTGGAGCGATGAAAGAAACAAAAAGGAGCAATTTTGGAGCGAAAAAAACCAAAATGTGAAGATTTGAACTAGGCCACCGACGATGCCCTCGACCCCGTCGACGACGAGTTTTTCCCGAGACTACAAGACCCGAGACTACAAGACAAAATTCTTCAGAACCCCGCAACGGCGCCCTTGAGGCCGCCGACGATGAGATCGACTGTTATGCCTACTCAAGCTTTGGATAAGACCAAATTTTGAAGGGATGCTTAGGCAACTCTTGGGAAAGCTCATCCACAACTTTAAAAGAACATTTTGGCCGAAGGTAGAGAACGCTAGAGAACGCTGGAGAAAGCTGGAGAGAGCGCTAGAGAATGCTAGAGGGGGCCTGGAGGTTAGAAATGTTCCATTAGAGTGAAGAGATTGTGAGGAATTCTTCGAGAGAATGTAAGAGTCAAGGGAAAGTGAGAGATTTCTTCTTCCTTGCTATTTCGAAGAGGAGTTCTGTGTGCTGTAAAGAAAGGAAGAGATTCATAGGGACTTTGAGGAGTACTTGGGGAGAAATTAGAGATAAGTTTATTTATTTGTTATAGCTTGTATGACTTTGAATTTATATATGAATTCCGAGTTTTGTTGCACTTTCCCCATGAGATTCGAGTAATTTTATCTGTCTTTGTCCTTGTCTCGAGATTTGTGAAATAATGATTTGAATTGGTGAAGCCATGAAAATGTTTAAGAAATTGTGATGATCTTTTCACTTCGATCTTAATTTAATTTCAATCTGACCAATTAATTTGTTAAAATATGTTAAGTTTTACAACTAAAGTGAAGATTACATCCAAGATTCAAGGGGGAAATAATATTATCGGGCATAGAATTGAAGATTTTAGAGTGACAGACTAAAATCCCCAATTCGGTCCTATCGTTTGGGTGCTGATGTGTAGATGTTAGCCCTCAGGTGAGGGGAACGTGGGAGCTCCGAAGTGAGAGCCGGTATCCTCCCTGTCTAGCTGCAGAATCAGTAACCAAGCATAGAATTAGTCAATATTCTTTATGCCTGGACCAAAGGGTAAAGAATACGTATGCTCCTATTTGGTACAATATAAATTAAACTATTTCATTTTGTCTATTTCACTATAATTTCTTGACAAAGAGAAAAATGCTTTCTTATATATCACAATCGTACCTTCATTAGCATATTTAGTTATTTTATAGATACAATTACATAATAATTTCAATTGTCTATTAGTGACAGATAAGCAAATTGAACTTCGTTGTTGTAATTGAAGTATTACTTTTTATAAAATCTTAGTTTGTAGATTTAACTACTCCCTGTGAGATCGATATCTAGGACTCCATTAGAGCCCTATATTACTTGAGCGATACGTATACTTGTGTTGACAAATTCGACTATAACATTATTGAATATTATATTTATATATCTTAATCAAATTAGACACATCTATAAAGTCACGATCAAGTCTTTGGACGCCGTTGCTGGAAATTAAATCTTCTAGTAGCGTCATCAAATTCTTGTATTTGTCGATTTACAAAAAGTTGGTCAGTAGTTCTGATGTATACAAATATTTTAGGTGGTTTAAATGTAAACATATAAATTTAAATGTGAAATTTTTATTATACAATGTTTTGGATGCCATGTATTCAAATCCTTTGTTTTTCATTATTTATCATAATAAATTTTTAATAAATTTTGGTATTATAATTATTTTTTCTGTTTATTGTTAAATGATTCTGGCTCTTAAATTAAGGGTCTGTTTGGGGGCAGCTGTAGCTTATCCAGCTTATGCTGATAAACAGTTTATCCTGATAATTTGCTGAGGAGCTGCTGATCCAGATAAGCTGGCTGGCTGTTTGGTTTGTGCGTTTGAAAAACAACTGGTTTGCAGTTGTTTGTGGATAAATGACTAGTTTGTCCCTGAACTGAATAAGTTGTTTAACTGTTTGGTTACTACGGTTTGAGAACAGTTATTTGCAACTTTATGTGAAAAAAAAAACATTTCAGCCACACACAGTGGAGATGTTTGCAACGGTAGTATGATGGGGACTAATTGAATTAAAATTGAATTAAAATTTTCAGATTCTTTGTAGAACAATGCTAATGGTCTTTCTTTCTCAAGGGCGATAAATTGAAGCTGACAAATAACAACTCTAGAATGTCATTGGAAGTACTTCCGCGATATGTTTAAAATAATATGATATCTAGTATAACATTTACATAAGTCCTTTACATTTTTCTTTGTAAAGGTACACTCCTAATCTTTATTACTATTGATATAGATATCACTGAAAAACTGATTCAGGTAAACCAATGCATTTTCCAAAATTAAAAAGCAAGCCCAACAATAATCAAGCAAATACACATCACTAAATCATCAATAATTACAATTCTAAAGATACATATTACTAACAACACACTCCATCCCTGATAATACCAAGAAAAATAAATGGTAAACTAGGGAGAGATCTACTTATTAAAACACCACCATCATACCTTTAATCCCCTGCAAATGTCAAAAATTCCAATTTACAGAGGTACAAATTCATAATTTCCCCACAAAAATAAATAATATTAATAATAAAAAAAACCGTTAAGACAATATAAACTCCCAATCAATCTCCCAAGAGGGGTATTTCCTCGGCACAAACTTCTCAGATTCATCTCAAGGTATTTCTGTAAAGTCGAAATTCTCCATTTCAGAAATAGGGGATGATCCCTCCGACGATATCTCCCCCTCTGAGGATGCCTCCGAGCCACTCTTCACTTCAACTGCGGCAAACGATGATGCACTCTGCTGGTTCTGTGTGCTCACGAGGCTCTCGCAAATGGCCTCCAGCTTTGCGTCGATGGAGGAGTGAAGCCCTGCGCCGGCGCCGATGTGATGGAGATGGGGGAAGTTTAGGCGAGCGAATTCACCGCGGAGGTGGAAGGCAGCTTTGTCGTAAGCCATGGCGGCTTCCTCGGCGGTGTTGAAGGTGCCAAGCCAGAGCCTGGTGCGGTTCTTAGGAGGCGGATCTCGGCGACCCACTTGCCTCAGCGGCGGCTTTCGACAGAGGAGAGAGGAGGGAAGGGATGATAGGAGAGAGGAGATGAGAGGGGTGGCTTTCGACTTCCGGCAGAGGAGAAAGGTAGGGCGAAGTATCGAGGGCAATGGAGTAAACAGGTAGAGGTCGAACGCGGATCGGGGGTATAACTGTGGTCTGCTTAGAAAACACAATTTGGAAAAACGCCCCTCAAACGTGCGAAACAAACACTAAGACAGTGCTTTCAAAACGACAGTGCTTTCAAAACGCCGCCGCACTTGTAAGCTGCCCAAACGGGCCCTAAATTGAACTAAATATGGTTTAGACTCGATTAGACTCGTATACACCCATTTTGTATCATAGAGTGCCACGTGTCATGCGAACACACTCCGGGAAAAAAAACATTTTGAAAGACCAGAAAACTTCAGGCGCTCTCGATTTCTACAGCTTTGGTTGATTTTCTCTTTCTCCACTTCAGTCATCCACTCTCCTCAGTCTCAGATCTCGCTCGTCGTCGCGCCGATGCGGTTCGCCTCCTTCTTCGATGTCGCCTTCCGGGCCTTCCGAGATCCATCTGCTCTCTCCAAGCTTGTCGTCATTATCGCAGGCGCCAGGTCTGCGATTCACTCTCTCTCTCGCTTCGCACTCCCCTTCTCCTTTTTCCAGCCGAAGGTGTTGATTTGAGCTTATTGGGCTTCTTATTTATGGTTGGAGTTACTTGATGGATTCTGGGGTTTTTTCTTATAACTTGCACCCGAGATCTCTGTTGATCACTGATATTGACTTTCTATCGTCTCATGGGTATGCGAATGGAGAAATTGTCACGTGCTTAATCTATATATATATAGACATTGATTCAGAAATTATGTGCCTACTGATTGACTGTCCGTATATCTCCCAATGTCTTTGTCACGCGATTGCATGCTCATATTGTTGTCGAAATACCTTTTGACTTGTAATTGAGTGAATCCTTCGGTCCGAACGCTATATTGAGGGGAAATGGTTTGATCAGTCAGTATTGGTTTCAATCCCCGAATACGTCGTCAGGTTCACTTATGAAAGTAACGGCTAAACCGAGATCCCATAGGATAAAATCGAAACAGTTTTGTTAAAGAAGGGTAATCATATTTGTTATAGATCAAAATTTGAAACAATGCTCTTTTATTCATAAAATAGGGCTAATTCATTGGCGAGTGTTGTTGAGTAAAACTAGATCGCTGGGGCATGATTTTAATCATTACAACAACAACAATAACAACGACAACAAGCTCTTATCCCCCTATGTGGGAATGTGGGATCGGCCATATGAATCCTTTTTCTTCATCGTGTCCTATTTAGTGTCATATTTTCATTTAATTCTAATAAATTAAGATCATTTTTTATACAACATGTCAAAGTCTTTTTAAGTCTTTTTAGGTCTCAAAGTCTTTTTAGGTCCACCTCCACCATTCTTAACACAAGTCAAATCTAAAATGTCTTCTCTCCTAACAGGGTCATCAAATGACTGATGTTTAATGTGACTAAATCATTTAAGGAAACTCTCTCAAATCATACTTGTCATTGGAGCTACTCCTACCCTTTCACAGATATTTTTTTTTTCACATTTTGTCTCTATGCCTAAAGCCACTCATCCACTTGAGCATTCTCATCTCAGCAACACCTAACTTAATTTTATGCCTCTCTTTTACTGGCCAACATTCTGCACCATAAATCATTGCAGGTTTCACCACCATTTTATAAAATTTTCGTTTAAGTCTACGCGATACTTCTCCGTCACCATCACTTTAAAAAATAGACTTGAGATATCTAAAACGTTCACTCTTTTTAATGACTTGATCACCAATTATTACAATTCTGCCACTAGATCTACAACTACTGCAATTATATTATGTATATTCAATTTTAAATTTACTTAAACGAAAGCTTTTAGACTCTAAAGTTGACCTTCATCAATTAAGTTTTTCGTGAACTCTCTCTAGTCTTATCCACAAGAAGGTTAGCATCGGCGAAAAGCGTATTTTAAGGTACATCTTTTTGCTCATGTCTTGTAAGAACATCCATAATAAGCAAAAAGATATGGGCTTAAAGCCTATCTTTGATGTAATCCAATTGAAATAGGAAAGTACTTTGTCAATCCTCACTATGCTCGAATGCAAGGGACAATTTTAGTATACAAATCTTTAATGATTTGAATATAAACAATATCAATACATTTCTTTTCTAGAATTCTCCAAATTTTTTTTCTTGGAACCTTTTCATAAGTTTTTTTTTTTTTTTTTAAATCAAGAAAAGATCATGTGTAGATCCTCTTTTATCTCTCTGCACTTCTCCGTCAAACATCTCAAATAGATGGATAACTTCCATAGACTTGCGTGACATGAATCCAAGCTAAATTAAAGAAATTTTTGTATCACATTGTAGCCTATGTTCAATTATGCTCTCCCATAATTTTATTATATGACATATTAACGTAATTCATCTACAATGTGAACACTCTTGTGCATCATCTTTATTCCTAAAAATAGAAACCCATAGATTCTTTCTTCACCCATGTGACATTTTTTTTAGTTTTTAAAATAATATTAAAGAGTTTAGTAAGCCAAAAACGTCTCAGACATCTAAATATTTTCACACTTCTTTGGACTTTAAACATTATTAAAAAAACATTTAGTTTCTCATTTTTAGCTGTGTTTTGATTATAATTCCTTCTTTACTGTTCTTAAGAGAATATGTTTTTATTTAATAATAATAATAATAATAATAATAATAGTAATAATATTATTATTATTATTATTATTATTGTTTTGCATTGCATTGACTGATAAATTGTATTACTTGTGTTCATTGTTATGGTTTTGGAAAATCACAAAATTTGTCCTGCAGAATGACCTTGGTTTGCCTTCTCCAGCTCCTACACAACGAGAAATGGGCTATAACTTGATTCCAGTTGTTGTTTTGTTTTCCTGAGGTTTCCTTTTGATTGTATAGGATTACCAAAGCCAACTGAAATGTTTTGGCATGGTATGAAGTCTTGGAGATGAGCGCTATTATGAGTTTATTAAAACCAAAATTTATCATGTTTCCTGCATATACATTCAAATAAATTGTACCAGTTCGAAGACTTATCTCTTCTTGGAAGCAATAAACCAAAGTAAATGAAATCTGTTAAACAGAACTGAAAAGCATGTAAACATGTTGAGCTGTGTTTTTGGTGAACGGATTGTTATTGCTCGAGAAACGGTTCTTGAAAGCTACAGGGCCAAAGTGGCAAGTAAAATGCCATTTTCTTCTCACCACATAGATATGGCTGCAGTACTTATTTTACCAAGCTCTGCAGCAGCTTGATTGACTTCTGCTTGAACCAGGGATAGAATGACCTCATCAACCTTTAATCACCTGCAATATTAGTATGTAATTATACACAAAACATCAAAATTAATTTAAGTTGTAGTAGAAGTTATTTCCAGAAAAGTGTTTTATTTTTGCTTGTTGGAATGTAAAACTGTTGAACATACATCTTGTTTTGCTGAAAACATTTTCATTAAACTACACTTCAATTTGTTTAGGAGCACTCTCACTTTAAATTATGGATTAATCTCTCTTCATGTTATGTATCACTAGGCATAATTTGATGCATCAGAAGATTTTCAAGTAATTGAAAATTACATGGATTTGTTTTGCACTAATTTTCCTTGCACAAATTCTAATGATTGGTTGTGATCTTTTATTATTATTCTTATCGCTCAATCATAGGGCGGGTGGTACTGTCGCTCCTGTGGGACTGTTTGTCTCTTTAAATGAAGAGACTAGAATCTCAAATCTCACAAAAAATTATTTATTTAAGGCTTCAGCCTTGAGTAATAGTTGGCAACATCCTATTAAGGTTTATTTTTAGGTTTCAACTGATTTATTTTTCTCTTAGTCAGTAAGTTCAATATCTTAGCTAAACCCTAAACCCTAGAACCTAAACCCTAAACCTTGACCTTAAATTGACCGAATTGGCTTGTATCATTTTTTACTATTTCTTGCAAGCAATAGGGGATTGGGCATAATTTTTGAGGACCATTAGATCAATCATGCGATTGCTTCTCATTATTGTCGGAGCTTGCTTGCTATTGTGCACATTATTTAGAGAGTTTTTAAATATCAGAAATCATTATGAACTTTATAGAATTTTCTCCACCTAGAGTTGTTAGATCAGCCACAGATGGTGCTAGAGATGTTGTCAGATCATCCACCTAGAGTTTGCTTTGTTGTGAGCAATGTGCTGAGAATGTTTGATTGATCTGGGACATGCTAGTTTCATGTAAATTGTGTAGAGAGTTTTAATTTTCTGGAGTTGCCGCACCCTCTAAAGAAATTAATTTTGTGAGCTATTTACTATAGATTATTTACCTCATAAGGGTTCATTTTCATGTAAAAGTATCATGACGTTCGTTTGTTCCATCAACTCCAATTGTAAGATGTTAAATTTTCTTAAAATTATCCTAGTTGACCGTATTGTTTGAAATTTGATTTGACAGTAGCAATGCAATGATAGTTTTATGATGCATAGCTTTATTTCTTTAGTGTTGTTAGGAGACATTGCTGACGGAGTTTGTCATCAGAGCATTGCTTGCTTCTAGGGTTACTCTGGTCTGGATGGGTTGATTGGGTCATCTTAAGTGTCAATTCACTTGATCATATTGTGAGCATGGGATTGTGTAATTTATGTTGTTCATGGTTGGTAATTAATTTTTATGCATTGTTCAATATTGATAAGTGCATGGATTATGTTCGAGATAAGTCAAATAGATGATCATAGTACCTTTCTTAAATTTTTTATAAATAGGGCATTGTTCAATATTGATAAGTGCATGGATTATGTTTGAGATAAGTCAAATAGATGATCATAGTATCTTTCTTAAATTTTTTATAAATAGGCCTTCATTTAGTTCATTTGGGGTATTTTAGAGTTGAATTGCTGCCTAATTCTGCAATTAACTATCATTCATGACAAGCCTCATTTTTTGGTTGCGGTATAAGTCATTGGATCAAAGCTTGCGCTGCAGCCATTGTTGCGTCAAGATTTTCATTGCATTTGCTTCCCCATATGAAGTGCATTATTACTATTTTCAGAAGCGTCTTACATCTCCCCACATTGAAATTGTTAAAGATACTAAGAATTGCTATTTTCTTGAAGTTTGTTTGATATTTTCTTTGATTATAGGAAAGTAATGTATCTCTATTTTTCTATTAGATGTTGTTTCAATTGGTCAAGGCTTTCCAATTATTTAATTTTTCATTTTCTTCATGCCTGCTTGTTATTTTGCTTGATTGCTTGTTTATTTGTGTGAATTATGGAGGTCTACATTGGAGTCTAAAGGCCTTCATTTGAGTATGACTAAAACTAAATACATGGAATGTAATTTTAGTTCTAGTAGCTCTAGTGACAGAGTTGTAACTATGGGTGATCAAATTATTAAAAGGTGTGAATGCTTTGGACATCTCAGGTCTATTGTTGAAATTGATGGTGATATAGATGGGGTGTTATTAGTAGAATTCAAGTTGGTTGGTTGAAGTGGAGGAGTGCTTTGGGCCTATTGTGTGATAAAAAGTACCGCGTAGACTGAAAAGAAAATTTATAAGATGGTGGTGAGTCCTGCAATGCTCTAGGCGCTGAATGTTGACCTTTAAAAGAGCAGCATAAAACTAAGTTAAGTGTTGCCGATATGAGAATGCTTAGGTGGATGAGTGGCTATACAATGAGTGGCTTTAGGTGGATGAGTGGCTATACACTTAGAGACAAATTGCGAAATGAATATATCGGTAATAGGGTTGGTGCTGCTCCATTGGCGGACAAAATTAGAGAGAGTCGTCTTAAATGGTTTGCTCATTAAACGTCTGATGATCCGATTATGAGAGTAGATGTTTTAGATTCGACTTATATTAAGAAAGGCAGAGGTAGACCTAGAAATAATATAACATATTGTATAAAAATGATCTTATTAGAATTAAATGAAAATATGACATTCAACAGAACAATGGAGAAAAATGATTCATTTAGCCCACCTTACTTAGTGAGTTAAACGTTTGTTGTTGTTGTTGTTTGTTTATTTGTGTGATTGCTTATCATTTTGATAGCAAAGGGCAATTCTCACTTTGTCAGTTTGATCTTTTGCACACCATGATTTTTATGACAAGGGCACGTAGCCAAAAAAATAATAGAAAGCATATGTTAATTTGAATTGAACTTGTGGCAAAACAATTATGGACGAAAATTTCCAGCTCCCTAGATTATTTATGAGTCCTAATGGTATTCAATTATATCAAAATGATTATAATGGTGTAACAATGGCAAGAAAAATAGATATTATTTGGTCCTACAAATAAATCAGTTATTGCTCTCACTCCGCATAAGCTGTATTTATGTTGCACCACGTCCTTCACCTTTGAAGGCCTTTTTGTTCTTATTGGGATGATCATGTTTTGGCATTGCAATTGGGGGTACTACGATATTACTTTTTATTTAGCTTGGAGCTTTTTAAGGATTTTTATTTTCAATCGGATAAGATTTCCAATATATCCACCCAACCATACTTTTTGTGTATAAAACTTTTAATAATTGACACCTTGGCCTTGAGCTATAGCTAATGCATGTTCGAACATGGATCCATCACATCAAATATCTACATGTATATATCCACACACAAATCACTATCACTATTAAGGTTACCATTAAAGATATATAGTTCAAATTGACAATTGCGATGAATAATCAAACTTAGAGCATTCTTCAAGTGCTTCTCTAATAATTCTATAATTTTTTTTGCCAAAATAATTTATGTATTCATTGCATTGTTGCGTCCATTGGAGTACATATTTTTAGTGTGCTTTGAAACTCCAACAAAGTTATCAATGGATAGGATTGTGTACTCTTTATAATTTTGTTTAAACTATATGAAATACTGATTGTTATTAAGTTGAATTGGTTTTTCAGCGAACAATGCTAGAGCTTAAAGACAACTCATTATCTGTATAGACAACTTTGTAAGTAAGAACTATAAGATCTTTAAAAAGAATACTTTTTTCTACCATCATTTATTCCATTTCTCATTAAATATTCAATTAAGTTGCTTCTTCTTACCATTCTTTTAATGTAGTACATGAATGTTGATGCTTGATTTTTCTTTAAAAAACAATGATTAGGATATAACTTTACTATTGAAGGGTCATATATTAGAACTAGGTTCAGATCATATTCGAGTTATGATCATGGTTCGGACATATTTTGAACATACTTTGATCAATTGCTAGAATTGGCTTCAATAAGGTTTGAAGACATGTTTGAACCATATTGGAATCATGTTCAAACATATGTTAGAACAAGTTTGGCCACATGTTCGATTAAGGTTTCTCATCGATTCTCCATCTCGCTCTATGTTAAAGCACCATCAAAATGATTCAGCTCATTTCAGTTATATGATACATGATATAAATAAAAAAAACCTTGCCCATGTTTGCTAAAGTCACTTGTTATCCTGATTTTTTTTATCTGGGCTGTCTTAATTTGCTGATTGAAGAAATCTTAAACAAACGGACAATGAAATTGGTGAAAGCTAAAGTGTTGAAGGGCATAATGTCTTACTTAACAGAAGATGGGGATATAGGGTCTGTTTGGGACAGCTTTCTGGTTACTTTTCTTTTCAGGCCGCCATTGCAGTTCTGTTTGGATAACTCTTTTCTTGCTGTTTTCTAGAAATTTTTGTGGTAAAAAGTTGCCTTTTTCAACTTAATCTTTTAAAGTGTGGTGGCTGCCAAAAAGTTATGGTTTAATTTTTTGAAAGTAAAATAAATTTGTATTAGTCACGACAGCTTTTTTAACTTCTTCTGTAGTAGCTTCACAGCTGCTTCTTTGAACCGCTACTATTGCGCCCCATAGACATAGGAAAGGCATTTTGGTTTGATTCAAATTTTTGCATTTATTTCTTAAAGAAAATAAACAGAAGACATATTTGGTCAATTACGGCTAATATGAGGCATATAAAGCCCACATATCCATTATTAAGGATAAAAACTTTATTGATAATGTGCTCTTTGCTATGAGTTGTTTCATGACATAAATAGAAAAACTAATGGTCATAATATAATTTTTAAGATGGATTCATTTAAAACTTTAGACAACCTTAGTTGGGATTTTCCTTTTCAGGTTTTATCTTTATTCAGAATGAATGGTAGGAGCTTGAATATAATTAAGAGCTGCATTGAAAATGTTTGGTTTTCCATTCCTATTTGTATGCATCGTACTTAAAAGAATTGCACTAGGCCCTTTGAACTACGAACTTGTATTATCTGAACGATCAAGGTAAATTAGTATCCACATAACTTGCTTTGTTAATATGAATTTTATTGCTGCTTTATTTATTTGCTTTTCTTTTAGCTTCACCTTTATATCACATACGCTTTTATATTTAGGCTATTATAAATTATTTTTCCTCCTGACTAGGTTAATGGAGTGATGTTAAGGACCTGACATCATTTTTCAATTTGCTAATAATTTATTTATGCCTAAAAACTTTATTTTCTTAAAGAAAATCTAAAAGAGATCTTGCATTCGAAACTTCAGACTAGAGAAATGCTTTTCCTTTTGTGTTATTTCAACTGTTTTTATATACTAATTTGGAGAGCGTATGGCTTACAGCAGTGGAGGTCTTGTTGCTTATGCCGATGCAAAATTAGATCGGGATTTGGCTTCATCTCAGGAATCTACAAAGAAGAAGGTGTTAATACTTGGCACTGGTTGGGCTGGCACTAGCTTCATAAGAAACCTGGACAGCTCCCTTTATGATGTACAGGTTATATCACCTCGAAACTATTTTGCATTTACCCCTTTACTCCCAAGTGTTACTTGTGGAACTGTGGAAGCACGAAGCATTGTTGAGCCGATCCGCAACATCACGAGAAAGGTTTTTTTTTTTTCTTTGGCTTTTGATTATGCAGCTTATACTCGTTCTGTTTAATTTAACTTGTGGAGACCTTTAGCATTATTAGGCTGAATGCTACCTAAGTGCTTTTGCTATGAGCGTTAACTGTCAAGTACACATTACTTACACCCAACACCGCCCAAATCTGTGTCAATATTTTCTTGTCTATGCTGTATTGTAATAAAAAATGAAAGTAATGCATCTTTTTGTCATGGGGTTGTTGGTTGTTACTAAAGTGGGCTTGACACGTGAGCTGTAGCAATTCTTGAGGACCGGAACTACGGTACCCATGATTGTGGGATTCCACATTATCATGGTATCATAAAATCTCGCAATCGCGGGATGTGATTCTTCAGCCTGGTTTTCAAATTGAGCCATACTTTTTTTGCTTTTTTATTTTTTTCTTTATTCATTTTTTAATAAGGATATTTTCTATTAGGAACTTTCATGTGTTGTTTTTTTCTGTTGGAGAAACTTATGTTTGATTTTGAATATTTTGGAGATTGTAATATCTGGTTTGTACCTAAAGAAGTGTTGTATCATTTTTCTTTTGCAAATGGCGTGTTTGTAGCTTGTGCAGGAACATGTGGTGACTCCTCATTGTTCATACATCGTCGTTTCGCGGTTTTTCTTGTTGTTTTTAGCTGGGATGGGCGCCGAACGATACCAATCTTTATCCAAAATCCGTCAAACTCCTCATTCTATTGCCATGTCACAACTTCCTCCCCGCTAAATCCCTTTTTTCTAAACACCTTATAGGAGTCTTAGAATGATATCATCTGGTATTAAAACCTAATAAATCTTAAATTTTTATAGATTTGTCATTCCTACACTTAAACGAAGAATCCATATAGCCTAACTAACACTCCTGCAAAAAAATTCTCTGTGCATTATCGACATAGCCATAGCACTAGCCCTAAATCATATATTTTTTTCTCGTCAAAATTTTTATTGAAAGAATAAGACATCATTCTGCCAAGAAGAAATCGACAATGAGGTGATGAGGAGCTCACCATGGAGGATATGTAACAGGAAATCCTTCAACTGCAATGATGATTTGCTGCCTTTGAGAGGAGATGGTACGGTGAGGCACCCATGGCCATAACAATGACTAGCTAAATTGAGAGAAAGAAGTAAATCCCTCTAATTGGAATTTTTTTAGTTATAATGAACCAATCCCCCAACAATTTGGCATGGAATAGAGGAGAATCCAGGACCTTTGGTGTAAATGTGAATTTATTGGATTTTGACGGTCACATGGATCCAGACGAGTTTATCGAGTGAACTCAAACAGTAAATTAAATTTTTTGAGTACAAAGAAGTTCCCTAGTAAAGAAGAGTTAAATTGGCAGCCATCAAGCTTAGGAATGATGCTTCTTTGTGGTGGAAGAACTTGAAACATATTTGATAGTGGGAAGGGAAGAGCAAGATCGCCACCTGGTCCATGATGGAAAGGGAGATGCAACACTAATATTTTCCCCCACATCATTGATAGGATATATTTATAAAACTCCATCACTTGTGACAGAGTGATTCTTCTGAAGAGGGGTAAACATCTAAATTTGATCAACTCATGCTGAAATGCAAATTGGTGGAACCAAAGGAGCATATAGTTGCAATATATCTTGGAGGATTGATGTCATCTATTAGTAATGTAGTACAAATGCAGTTGTATTAGTCTCTATTTGGTGTACATAATCTAATTTTGAAGGTGAAAAACAACATCACCAAGTGACCGCCACACATTACAAATAAAGTTTTACTCTGGGATTACATAATAAGAGTACACTTAGTGGAACATCCAAGCCGATCCCACTTGAAGCAAATCTAGTTCAAAGTAGAGAAAATGTAGAGACAACTAGCCTTCCAAATACCAAGCAAGGAAGTGCCTTAAGTGTCAGAACTTTGGACACATTGTATCTGATTGTCCAAATAAAAGGGTGATCTTTTTCATCGAACAAGTAATAGTTGAGAAAAATAAGCTGTTACATAGGAGAAAATGAAGGCTTCAAAGAAGAGGATCAACTTGCAGTCGGCGAGGGAGAAATGCTAATGTTGCAAGTTGAGCCCATGAGAGAGATTCTAGTAGGATTAACTTTTGTTGTCCTAAAAGATAGTGATTTTAAGGATTCGATACCAAAAGGGGATAAACCCAGTTGAGGAAGTTACTAAATGTCCTGATTGATAGTTTACTTTTTGCTAGCTACCACCAAGAGAGATTCAACATATCATAGATTTCATTCCAGAGTGTTTTATGCTCAATCAACTTTTCTATGGGATGCGACTATCTGAGTATGAGAAATTGCAAAATTATTTTGCCCCCTTGATGGTTAGATGCTTGGTTCGTGAGAGTGTTACCAGAGCTTCAGTTTTGATTGTGCCAAAGAAGGATGATTATTTATTCTATCATGCCAGGTTATGGAAGGCTGAATGTGTTTTAGAGTTGCATGAAATGAATGATAATATAGATTTTCTTGTGGAACTATCTCAAACACAACAAGATAATGACTTTGTTATGGCGGTGCTTCATGATGCTTTTAGTGAAGAAGGTGAAGATTCTCCTAGTAGAAGAGAATGATGCGGGAGCTGTAGCAATTCGACAGGATTGGAACTGTGGTATCCGTATTTGCTGGATTTTGCAATATTGAGGAATCAGAAAATCCCACGATCGCAGGATGTGATTCTTTCGCATGGTTATTGAATTTTGCCATAATTATATTTCCTTTTCCATTTTGTTTCCTATTTCGTTATTTCTAGTTTGGGTATTTTCTATTAGGAAACCATCTATTTGTTGTTATTTTTCATTGGAGGGACTTTTGTTATGTTTTGAGTATTTTGGAGATTGTAATATCTTGTTTCTACTTAAAGGAGTGTTGCAACCTTTTCCTTTTGCAAGTGGTATATTTGTAGCTTGTGCAGAAATAAGTGGTGATCCTCCTCATCCATACATCTTTGTTTCATGGTTCTTCTTGCTGTTTACAGCTGGTACAACAACCGAAAGATGTGTATCCCCATCCAAACACTGCCAAACTCGCATATTCTTATTCCCTTGCCATTCTACAACCATCTCTCCGCTACACCTTCCTAAACACCTTCTAGGAGCCCTAAAACAGTATTAGGGCTTAAGAGGATTTTTTGATATAATTAATGTTTTAGAATTAATAAGGAGTGAATTTTGTATTATGCATTTTTGAGAATCCATATTGTTTTCCAGCAAGTAAAAATTCAAGTCGAATTATTAAACTTATATAATATATAAAAAAATAATAAAAAAATAATAATTTACAACTTATTATTTTTTAATCTATTTAAAACTTTAAAAAAGGGGAGCAAGAATCATTAAAGATTTTAAAAACTCTTAGAAATAGTCTGATTGAAAAAAATATTGACATCATATTTTATCACAGACCATTTTATTTAAAAAGATAATAGGCAACTATTAAAGGTGAAGCTCGGGTTAGGTGTAAAAACTTGATCATTTTAATCAAAATTATAGAAATAAGATTTAAATAAATTATTAACTAGATATTAGATGTTTAAGAAATTTTTTTTGACATAGGCAAACATACAAAACAATAGATTACAAACATAAATAATTATAATTTTTTGTGATTAATTAATTATACATATGAAAAAGTAATGGAAAGTAGAATTGAAATGCACGCTATCACGAAATGTTTAACTTTTGTATACTTTTTATCTTATAGAATAAAAATTGCTTATCTTTAAGAAAATTTGTAGATAAAAAATAGTTAATATTTATAATTAATCTAGTTTCTTATAAGATATTTGCATAGTCTGGTTCTTTATGCCAATATTGTTTTTTTTATCCTCTTTTTCTTTGTCTATCTATACATGATAGATTTAATTAAATATTTGTGTTTATAATTACAAGTTTTCTTGCAACTTCATAAAATTAGATTGAATATTTAGTAAATTTTAGTTGATAGTATTTTTTATCATGTCCTATATATCAAAATTTATTACTGTCAATAGTATGAAATATTAAAGAAAAATCTATATCAACTTCTTGATAAGATATATTTAAAATTTTTACATGCATCGTCTTATATTAAAATTATAAATAGATTTGGCAAAATAATAACATTATTAAGTCAATCCCTATGTATGATTTTTTTATTTATTTAATAGTGAATAAAAAATATGAATTAAAATAAAATATATTTAGGTTATGTATAAAAGAACATCAATTGTCACATGATTAAAAAAAGATATAATTAAGAAATAAAAATGTGGAACATATAATAAAATACTTATCAAGTAACAAAATTGTGCAGTAATTGAATTTGTATGCATTAGAAATACTGTAACATGCAATCAAATATTTTACTAAAGCGAAACAAAATAGTGAAATTACCATAGTAAAAAATTATAAATTTTACTAATGTATGATGCCATTGATGATTAAAAAAATAAAAAACTATTAAAAATAACCCTTCCAAATTACATGATTAAATATTTGCAAAATTTAATACAAATGAATGTAAAGTAACTATCCCATTTAGGCCGCAGGCATCTTTTTAGTTGCGGTGCGGTGGTAATAAATAAAGGCTGTCATTTGGAAAGAAAGTTGCGGTGGCTTTTCGACTTATTTGATTATACAACAGGCCGCAGGTTTAACCACCACAACTTACGTTTCGTTCGCGTGATAATACCTCAGTTGACCTTAACTTTGCATCGTCTGATTTGTTATTTGTGGCTTGCTCATTGCGATTCATGGTTTGTTTTTTTGTGGTTTCTGATTTTTCCGTTGTAGCCCGAGCGACCTTGCGATTTCTTGGCCTCTGCCCTGAAAAGTTTTATTTATTTATTTATTTTTGGATAATTACATATAGTTGTGTGTTATTTACAAATCAATTCCATACATCGATTTCATTTCTTTTGTTGGATAATTAGGGTGGCTTTCCTCAGTTGAGCTCCCCCCTCTATTTCATTTTTGGGATAATTGCATACAGAGCACA